CCTCGCCAACATCGCCGACGCCGACGCCGGGGCGCGGGACGCGCGTGGCCTGAGCTGCACCATGGCCCACGTCGCGCAGGACCGTCCGACCTCTGACCCGGAAGTAGCAGCCCGCAAGCCGAGCGTGACGCGAAGAGCAAGCGACAGTTTAGTCGCTCCCAGCACGTTCTGAAGCCCCACAGCGAGTGGAGGCGCATGCGCAGGCGGGGAAGGGCGTGGCCTAAGGAAAGCTGGGGGCGTTTCCTTCCGCTCCAGGCTGCGGGAGTCCCTCTTCCCTGCTGTCAGCGTGCCCGTGGGAGCCCGTGGGCGCGGGGCTGTTTGCAGGCCGGGCAGACGTGCTGCCTTCCTGGCTGGGGTGCTGACAGCAGGTCTGGCTGAGTCCCCGCCTCCTGGAAGCGGGCTGGCGCGGGTCACGCCATCAGGTGCGCAGGAGCTGGATTCACTTAATCCAGCGGTTCTCAACCTTCCTAATGCCACGACCCTTTCATACAGTTCCTCATGTTGTGGTGACCCCAACCATAAAATTATTTTCGTTGCTACTTCATAACTGTAATTTTGCTACTGTGATGAATCGTAATGTAAATATCTGATATGCAGGATGTATTTTCATTGTTACAAATTGAACATAAAGCAGTGATTAATCACAAAAACAATATGTAATTATATGTTTTCCGATGGTCTTAGGCGACCCCTGTGAAAGGGTCGTCTGATCCCCAAAGGGGTCGCGACCCACAGGTTGAGAACCACTGACAGTGTTTATAGATCTGACTCCCATCACTCCACACTCCCTGAGAAGTGGCGTCTCAAAGGGAAGGAATGCGCTATAGCTGCAGGACCTGCTGTCACCGAGAAGTTGACAGACACGGATTAAATCAATTCCCGGCACCAAATGTGCTGGGCGACTTTGGCCCCGTTTATCAGGCCACCCCGACCACCAGCTCCTCCACCAGTCTGTCCATGCCTCTGTTCTGTGTCCATCACTGACAACTTCCCAAACAGTGTATTACCTGACTCTGCCCCCCAGCCCCCATTTAAATATAAGCTCTGTGAGAGAGTAGGGAGCCCACCTAATTCCCTGGACCCCAGGACCTTGAACAATGGCCAGCCCATCCCAAATCCTGAATCCAGTGAAAGAATGCCACCCTGCACTCAGTGACTGCAACCCTAGTACTATTTCTGTGTCCTAAGTATATGCCATTTTTTGTAATATACATGGCTTTTCCTGACCTGTGTTATCTTCTCTCACCCATTATACAATACTAAGTGAGTCATCTATCATTCTCCCTTCACACTTGCCGTGCATTTGTACATGCTGTTCCCTTTATGACACACACTCCCCCATGTGGAACTATTTATACCTGAATACAGGCCAGGGCTGACATCCTTTAAAGGTCTTTCAAAGACCTTAACATCTACCCATCCCCACTCTGCCCATCTTTAACTACATTTTCCTCTGAATCTTGAACAAATTTCTATTGCTGCAGTTTCTACATTGTATAATAGTTTACATGACAGTTGTCCCAACATTCTGTCAAGTCCTTGAGGGCAAGGCCCACGTCTTACTAATATATTTCTAATGCCTATTATGTGGAAGACATTCAATAATACTAAATTGAATTGAATAATTTCTACCTCACTTTTTTTTTCAATTCTCCTTTCATTTTCTCTAATAAAACCAAAACGTGAACACAAATGATAAAACACACACACAAAGCTGCTGGTACCAAAGGCCCAATTTGAGAGGAGTTGCAAAGAACTGTTCTGAAATATCTGGGCCTTGGGCAGATAGAGATTAAAAATATAATCAGACTGAGACAGCATACTGATTTCCATCATTGCTAACACTAGGAAAATGTTTAAAGTAACGGAGAAGCCCAACAACAAACCTATTAAAAGAGAACAATGGTATTTTATGTGCAAAAATGACATTGTAAGTATCACAAGTCCCTTCAATATATATGCTTTGAGCCACTCGTGTGAAGTGAACCCTAAAGACTGGCCCTGAGGGGTTGTCGGGGCCAGCAGCTGCTGCTCGCACCCGGCTCCGGGTGCAGGCAGCGGGTGTGAGTGGTGGCTCTGGCAGCAGGTGTGAGACCGCGGCGCACAGGAGCGAAGAATTTTCAGTAACCATCAGAGGCTCGCCCCAATGACAACAACTGGCACCCTGCCTTGGTCTGGCAACCCCGCTCACCTGCTCCACCATCCCACCGTGGCCGATGCGCACCATGTTCCATGCTCTGCCACCTGCTGCAGAGGGCTGCCATGTTCTGCGTGCGCCCCCTGGTGGTCAGTGCATGTCATAGCGACCGGTTGTTCTGTTGTTCCATTGTTCTGCCATTTGGTCTATTTGCATATTAGGGTATTACATATATAGATGACTTGCAAATGCAGTACAAAGTTTTGTATGATGGTGTCTTGTCATCTATTTCCACAAAAGCCAAGGATATGACATTAAATCAATTCTTGTAAGGGGCTGAGGTGATGAGACTGTAATCACCCAGGGGGCCAGCTGATCCAAGGGCCATTGTTATGTATGACCTTCCTACACTGTTTACTAAAGGCCACTGCTCCCAATCAGGCTTCTGATGCTTGCCTGAGAGCAAGCAGGCATCCCACTGGCCCTAGGTACTATATAAGGTGTGGGGCTTGAGGTGAGAACTGTGTTCTTGCTAGTTTACTCTGAGGTAAAGTCCTATGGAAAACACTCCCTTCAGAATTCAGTGTCTGGGAAAGCTTGGCAGACCCTGAAGGGCCTATATGCTTCTGTGTTTATAATATCAAGAAATAGTCATCCATCACCTCTCCCTTTCCTCCTTGGCCGCTAAGAAGGCTAGTACTGCCCAGCCTGTGGCTTAGTTGGTTGTGCGTCATCTCATGCACCAGAAGGGCACAGGTTCCATTCTGGGTCAGGGAAAATGTCCCCGGGTAGGAGACATGCAGGAGGCAGCCAATTGATATTTCTATCTCTCTCCCTCTCCCTTCCCCTATCTGAAATCAATAAAAACATATGTTTTTTTAAAAAAGGCTATTACTACATTTTAGTCAGTTGTGAATACCTTTGGAATCTATATATTTGTGTCATTTTGGGGTGGGGGCCTCATCCTGATTTTCTACCTTGTTGCTACTTTTCCTTCTTGAGTTCTTGTTCTAAGCTATCCCACATATTTTGAGGTAAAGCAAACAGGGTAAACACGGAAAAGAAAAAATCCTCAATAAAGGTATCTCTCAGGGTCACATCTGTATACCATATATTACCTCCTGTAGAGAGTGATTTTATTTTACATCAAAATTTGTATAAAAATCAGAAATAGCAATGTTTTACCTTTCTACTTCTATCTTTGACAAATAGCAAAAATACGATTGGGATAATTACATTTTTAAGACAATCTAATTAGAATTTCCCCCCTCAATAATCAATCAAACACATCAGAGGATCAGAGGTATGTTATGTTTAAGTTCAAACCAAATAACATGCATTTACTTTACAGCTCTCTGACTTCTTGTACCTATATTTGCTACAGTTACCTCCAAGGCCCCTACCACTTATCAACAGGTTGGATCCCAGCCAGAAAATCAGAGACTATTTTTAGATCTTCCAATATTCAGCTCCCATCCACAAGACTGTGTGTCTTCTGTTTGTGGCCTGGTACTTAGATGTACTATAATCTCTTCCTTCCCAGGACAATTAAGAAACTGTCTCTGTTTCATGAGGAGCCAGGGCTTCAGGAAGGGTCCTACCACAGAGCCCCTGGAAATGAAACCTGAAACAGAAGGACAAACACAGCAGTTAGGAGCGAAACCAACATACTACTTCAGCAAGTCACACATTTCTTAATTTTACCCAGAGGAAAATCCAAATTCTCACAAATGTGGCAATATGAGCTGTTGTGCCCACTTCTTTCATCTAGTTTCTGACAATTCAAGATATAGACATTTCACCATGGGTTGGTCCTTGTGATCAAGAAAATTTAGGAAAGGAAATGCCTAGAATTTATGTGGTATAAATAAGAATTTTATTTTAAAGAGCAGGGGCAGATATGATTGTAAATTGTATTTCATGATTATATTGCCAAACTTATAAAAGGTTGTTTTTAGTTGATTTGAAAGAAAGAGAGAGAGAGAGAGGGGAGAAACATTGATTTGTTGTTCCACTTATTCATGCATTCATTGGTTGCTTCTTGTATGTGCCCTGACCAAAGATTGAACCCGAAACCTTGGTGAACTGGGATGACTTTCTAACCAACTGAGCTACAGGGCCAGGGCCATAACGAAAGTTTTAAGTTTTATGATATCTACATACTACATTAAAACAGCATTCATATGTACTAAGGACAAGAGAAAAATAACTTCATGCACCATACAGACCACAGGATTTTAGCTGTGCCAACAGCCTCTCAAATCATACCTTCCACAAAGAGCTCTGACTTGTAGTCAGAAAGGAGAAAAAAAGAAAAGAAAAAAGAAAAAGCAAAGAGGAGGAAGAAAAATCAATGATTTCTGCTTCCTTCAAGAGAAAATACTTATGGCAGAAAAATAGCAGGGTTTTGTAGTATATTATTAATAAGAAAACCAATTGAGCACAATTAAAAATGAAGACAGCATTTGCTTAATGTAATCCATCATATTACCAATTCTGATACAACACAAATCGTTAATGCCTTATCCCTTAAACACTGTTCACGTCACCAAGTGCCACTCATGGGCATCCCTGACCAGTGGCATTTCCACTCCTGCCACACTCAGCGCGCTGAACCCTGGCCACTAGAAAGCTCCTCCCCAGCACAGTGGTCATAGTCCCCTGAGGACTGTCCAAGAATTATGCAGCGGTTCTCAACCTGTGGGTCGCGAACAATGAAAATATATCCTGCATATCAGATATTTACATTACAATTCATAACAATAGCAAAATTACAGTTATGAAGTAGCAACGAAAATAATTTTACGGTTGGGGATCACCACAACATGAGGAACTGTATTGAAGGGTCGCGGCATTAGGAAGGTTGAGAACCACTGGATTATAGCCTCCAAGGCATGGAGAGCTTTCAGGGAATTTCCAGATCCTCAATCCGACATGGTCTCCTTCTTAAGAAAGTGACTCTCAAGTGCCCCTTTTCACTTCCCCCTCCCCCCACTTCACAAAGGCAAGCTGCACCCCTCACTCACCCCAAATCTTAGATGGTGCCTTAGCCCAGAGTGTGAAAACGTATCGGGTGCTAACTAAAGAGACATTTGAAATATTGGTGTAGATTAAAGAAAACAAAAGACTGGATATCACATCCTTATGCAAATAGGGCCTTTTCATCCTTGCTTTCAATAACATGGAAAGAGGGTCTGATAGAATTGTCAGTTAACAGACAATGAAATAAGATACTACTATGGCATTTTAGCATGTAACTTGGAAGGAGGTCCAAAGTCTGAGTGGCCATGCCATCTGAAATTCCTTTCATTTCGTGGTTTATGTAGCCCAGTTCTCCCAGTACATCCATCTATAAAAACCAAAAACTAAGAATTACAACTGACCTTGAAAAGGTAATACTGAGCTTGGCCAGTGAAAATCAGCCCTGCCATCCCACAGATGGGAATAAGAGACACAGATAAAGCCAGCTGAAGAGTGAGTAGGAAACATACTTTCCCAGGACAAGCTGCAAAGAATCTTAACAACTCCCTCCTTTGAGTAACTGCATACTTTTTTACTCACATCACATTTATCTACACTAATAAAAGAGAAAAATGGTAATTGGCGTACGACGCTACCCTTTTCATTGGCTAATCAGGGCTATATGCAAATTAACTGCCAACTCAGATGGCAGTTAACTGACAACAAAGATGGTGGTTAATTTGCATATGTAGGCACAATGCAGGGAGGCGAAAGGGAAAGCAGGAAGAAGCCCCCTGCTACTGACAGTGGGGGCTGGAACCCAGGGGGGAGCTAAGAGCTGGGGGGCA